AAACTGTTTTCTGGAAACCTCAGGCGAGTGGCCCAGAAAGATCACTACTGATTCTCTTTGCAGTATGTAGCCATTTGGCATATTATACATTATCACACTTTTCAGTTCACATGGAGTGATGCTCAGCCCAGCACACTTAGCCAGTGTCCTGCTTAAACCAATATATGCCCTAGAACTGTGGTTCTCAGTCTTCTGTATCTGAAGTCCCACAAATCACTCTGTCAAAGAATCTGGGCCATGCCATGATAGAAACAAAACACCCACTTTCCCTGAGAAAGACATTTATATGTTTACAGGCATTTTGTTGTTATTACTAGCTGCTAATATCTAGCATGCCAAAAGGTTGCAGATAGCTAATTTGTGGCAGGTAGGGTTGGCAGGAGATAGCACATTACTCGTGTAGGTAGACTAGGGGATGGAGAGACAGGAAATTCCTGGCAATCATTATGAAAATCCTGCATCCCACCTAGGCTACTTCTGTGTTGCACCAGTGGCACATGTACTTAGGGCTGCCAACCTCCAGGTGGGGGACTGGAGACCTCCTAAAATGACAACTGATCTCCAGACTATAAAAATCACTTATTGTTGTTTTAATATCTTTAAAACATTTATTCCACTTCTCCTGGAGAAAATGGCTGCTTTGGAAGGCGGACTGCCTGGCATTAAACCCAACCAAGGTCCCTCCCCTCCCTAAACCCCACTCTCCCAGGCTCCACCCTCAAATCTCCAGGTATCTCTGAACCCAGAGTTGGCAACCTGACATACCACCAGTAGAAAACCACTGCAAACTGTCCACCAGACTTCTGGAGGGCACTGAATGTGCCTTGAGAAGTTCAAGCCGCCTTGTTGAATGCATCCACCACTACTCTATGCCCATTGGAAATGGAGAGGCGCCCCATCACACTGATTACCCCCTCCATTCCCAAATATATAAAGCAAGGGATTAAAGACACTGCATCATTCAACCCATGGTCTTCTAACTGTGGACAGGTGCAGTTTCTGAGTACACACAACTCCATGCCAACAGCAGAATATGGAGAGGAAGCATCAATAGTGCTCTCTCGCAGTTTCATGAGGGATGTGCACCCATTACTTTAAGAGAAAACTGATTTTTTTTAAAAAAAGAATTAGTATAAAGTGAGTCTCCAGTCCTAATCAAAGGAGGGAGAACCCTCTAAGATCAAAAATTTGGGAGACACTGACCTAGACTGAACTAGGGTGTATTCCCACTTGAATGACAGTGGGTCATGGCACAGAATTTCTCTCCCTTCCCATATCTGAAAACTCAAGCCCTAATTCACCTGGCATTTGCCACCCTCCAAATGACTGCATTCCACTAGAATCAGGAAGTGCCAAATTACATTAGGACTGGGGCCTTTTAACAGCAAACTTCAGCCTCACCTCACCCCCAGCGATTTTCCCAACCTGAAACAGTCTCGGGGGGAGGGGCAAGCTATAAGGGAAATACATGAGTTCCCCAACAGGCCCCAAAGCACCTCCCTTGGACTGTTTACAGCTGGGAAAACAGCACACAGAGAAAGCCTGAAGCCCCTTCTCTACATGCACCATGGTCCTGATCCTCATTGGGCATTGCACACGCAGGTACTGAAGGGAAGCCACAAGTCATGAGTGGTTGTGCTTTGTTTGAAACAAAGTGGGGATGCAGATCCCACCAATGGAATCCATAATGAAAGGAAGAATCTGGGGAAAGGCAGGATTCAATACGGTTTTCTGAGGGAATATGGATTGCATATTCAAACTTCAAAAAATATTTCTTGAATAAATATAGAATTCTTGGTAGAACCTTTGTATTTTGGTATGCCAAGAAGTGGGAGGGTTGTGAGCAAGGAGCTGGGGGGGGGATGACATCAGCAGTGTCATCATGTCACTTCCGGCAAATAAATGGAAGTGACATAGGCAGCTCTAGAAACTGCTGGAAACTCTATGGCACCACAGAGTTTCTGGTGATTCCTAGAATTACACTATATCACTTCCAGCTCTACCCCCCCCCCCAGAAGTGACATAGCACTGCACACAATGCTGCAGGGTTTTAATTTTTTCTCTCCTGCTGCTGCTTGGAGTGGGGGCAGGCAATGGGAGCGGGGTATCGTCCACCTCTACCTGGGGAATGGGACCCCTAGGATGTTCATTTGAATATGATGGTATCTTAATGTTAACGTTCAATGTATGTGCCTGGCTCAATATGCCTGGGGCCAAGTTAGACAAGACCTTGATCTCTCTTTCCTGCTCCCTCCCTCCAAGCAGCTGTCTGGAGCTTGACTGGAAAAATGGTACTGGGGAAGGAAGCAATTTTCCCATTTAAATCATGGCCTTTCCTACACTACCATTTGCCCCCACAGTTAAATGATGGCACAGTGTCTAGTTAGGCTTTATTTATTTGTGTATTTCTGCTTCTCTTCTTTCCCCAATGGGGGGGCCCAATTAAGCTTAGAACATCATTCTTTCCTCCTCCATTTTATCTCATAACAACCCTCCGGTGAGGTTCATTAGGTCAAGAGAGCGTACCTGGTCCAAGGTCACCCAGCAAGCTTTCGTGGCAGAGTGGCAATTCAAACCTAGGCCTCCTAGATCCTAGTACAGCACTAACTACCATGCCATGCTTTAATTGGGAGCTGTACAGCAGGTTCTCTTATATGTTTCCCCCACTTTGTCCGATGAGTGTCCTGGGAATTGAGCCATGTGTACTGTATAACCAGTTTTGGCTTCTATGCAAGTGTACAGACACAACCTGAAACATGAACTTAAGGTTGAAGGAAGGTCCCAGGTTCAATTGCGGCTACCTCCAATCAAAAGGGTCTTAGAGATTCTCTTATGTTGGAGACTCACTGCTGTCCTTGAAAGTCCTTGAAAGTACTGAACTAGATGGATCCGCAGTCTAGCACCTTTTTTATCTTGCCCTTCCACCCCCAGTGGGGGACTTTGGGGGCGTTCCTGGAGGGGGTGGGGCATCCCTGACGTGATGACGTCATGTTGGGGACATCCGCCGCCGCCCCCCACCCGCCCGTGCGCAAGATCTCCAGAAAAGGCAGTTCCCTGCACTTAAAGGAGCCGACGTTTCCCTTTTAAATACAGGAGCCTGCGTTTCCCCTTTAAGAGCAGCTGTGTTTCCCTTTTAAGAGCACGAAGCTGGCGTTTCCCTGCAAGCTTGCGGAGATCCGGCTTCGGAGGAAACACGGGTTCCACACACTTAAAGGGAGAGAGATGGGTGGCTGTGGGTGTTGGGGGTGGGGCTTCCCCCGCTGGCCATCTGGCCGGGGGTGGGTAGAACCCCCCAAAAAACGGGGGACCCCTGGCAAACCGGGGGGGGGTTGGCAACCCTACCCTTCCTCCAGGGAGCTCATGGGTGGTGCACGTGGCTCTCACCTTTTTATCCTCACACAGTAGGTTTGGCTGAGAGACAGCGACTTGGCCAATATCACCCAGTGAGCTTCGAACTAGAATCTGAACCCGGGTCTCCCCAGACTCTAACCACCAAAAGTAAACACAAGACAGCTCCCAACCATCCCAGTCATGTGAAGGGTGGTGACAGGCTTCTGTCCTTCACAGCTCACTGGGCTGATGAGCCCTACCCAGCACAGATAACAATCCCCCTTCTACTTCCGCAATAATCACTTAATTCTAAAATGAAAGACAGGTGATGAATGAAGAGCTCCTGATTGCAACAGCTCACTTTAACCCCTTCAGTTCACTTTAACTTTTGGATTACGTACTGAATATCAATCAAATGAGAAGTTGAAATTAGTTCAGGGCTTGTTCTCCAAAGACAAAGCGAGTATACATGCACACTACAGCCATAAACTGGTTTAAGTAGTCATTCCCTTTCCCACAAAACTGGAGTTCAAGGGAAGAAGTGAAGAATCCCTAACAGAATGTTCAATACTGAATGAAACTAGATGGTGCAAGCTAGCCCAATCCTCATTAGATCTCAGAAGCTAAGCAGGGTCAACTCTGGTTTGTATTTGGATGGGAGACCACTAAGGAAGTCCATGCTCGCTACGTAGTGGCAGGCAAAGGCAAACCAGCTTTTAATACCTCTTGCCTTGAAAACCCTAAGGGGTCGCCTGAAGTCAGTTGTAACTTGATGGTACTTTCCACCACCAGCACCAGCAGTGAAACTACAGTGCCCACTGATTTCCAGGGAAATGGTGATAGCTAAAAGTTTATAATACACGTGGGGCCTTGTTAGAGTAGATACAACCAAATTCACACATGTATTTACATCATCTGGCTTCTCTACACTAAATCAATGGAAGCTGAATGTGTGAACTGACTGCCCTGAAAAGCACTACGTTGTGACCTAGTGTCAAGAGAGAGGAAGTTTCCTGCCTGTGATGGCTATTTACATACGTAACAGATTGCCTGATGATGCACCTACTCCCCCGGTAATGAATGTGCATGTGTGAACCAGCTCCCTTGGGGGTCCAGTATGGCACATGCCAGCTAATCCTCCTACCTGCATCTCCAGATCAATGCTTTCATAGATATCAAAATGTTTTTCCGGGATGGGTGGCGGTTCTTCCTCTCCCTCTTCCGCAGGCCTGTCATGGTTTGCAGGCTGAAACTGCTGTTCTGCCTTGGGTTTTTTGCACACTCGAGCATACATGGCCCGTAGCTTCTTCTCCACATCAGATGTGGACTCTGTGGGAGCTTCTCGTCCATGCGTCAGTTCCTGCAGCTGCAGATGTGACTCTTTTTCCTCGAGGGTCACCGTCACTAGCACTGATGCATCGCCAGACTGTGGGTGCCTGCCCATGACCCTGCTCTCCTTCCCACCAGATCCCACAGACCCCACTGTAGCACAGCTTGAGCTCTTCGACAGCAAGCCAGAGCTTTCCTGCCCTTTCGACCAGTCTTCATCCTTGATGCTTTCATAAACTTGGCCATCCATGCATGGATTCAGAGGCTCTGTTCTAGATATGTCCTCCTCCCTTGGAGTCATGGGGAGCTTCCTGAGCTGCAAGGAGCCCGGGAGGGCTGCATTCGGACATAAGGCTTGTGGACCAAGGCTTATTGGATGCTCTAAATCTGTCATCTCAGACGTCCCTCTCTTTTGGTGGTTTGGGTTTGTCAGACCCGGAGAGTTCGGAGAGTTTGCTGGCAGAGGGTGTGCAACGCAGCCATTCGTCTGGCTCTCACCCAGGTTACTGGACAAAGGACTACCTGTTGAGAAAGACTTTGTTTTAATTGTGTATTCGTTTGAGCTCTCTTGGTGGGGGGAAACAGGCTCGGGAGATATGACTCCAATTTTATAAACACTTAAAAGGTATTTTATAAATAAAATGTAGGCCTTGAAGAAATATGCCGCTGAAAGAAATAATATTCATTTATTTCCAGGGTTGCCAGCCTCCAGATGGGCCTGGAGATCTCCCGCTTTTACCACTGATCCCCAGCTGGCAGAGATCAGCTCCCCTGGAGGAAATGGCTGCTTTGAAGGGTGGACTCTATGGCATTGCACCATGCTGAGGCCCCTCCCCTCCCCAAACTCCGCCCTCTCCTGGATCCACCCCCAAAGTCTCCAGGTATTTTCCAACCCAGACCTGGCAACCCCATTTATTTCCCAGGATAAAACGATAGCCAGCAATACACTACTGAAGCCTTCCAAAAGCAAGGCACGAGGGCCAACCCTGCTCTTACAGCTATGGTCAAGAGCTGGTTCTGAACCACAGACCACCAGCTGCCAAGGGCCTCCTCAAATAGGGTTGTCTAGCAACCAGCAGGGAGTCCAAGAGGAGTGGGGAAGTTGCTGTCAGTGACAGTGTGATGTCACTTCTGGGGAAACCCAGAAGGGGTCTTATGCCTCTCTAAGAATCAGTGGAAATTCTATAGCAAAAAAAAACGTTTTATAGAAGAAGAGGAGGAGGAGGAGGAGATTGGATTTATACCCCACCCTTCACTCAGAGTCTCAGAGCGGTTTACAAACTCCTTTCCCTCCCCACAACAGACACCCTCTGAGGTAGGTGGGGCTGAGAGAGCTCTGAGAGAACTGTCCTTGAAAGAACAGCTCTGAAATAGCTTGTGACTGACTGAAGGTCACACCAGCAGCTGCATGTGGAGGAGTGGGGAATCAAACCCAGTTCTCCCAGATTAGAATCCAAGCTCCTAACCACTACACCAAACTGGCATGGGGAATCATTATAAAATAATATCCACCTGAAGTAGCACAGTCCTCCCTTACTAGCTCTGAATTCTACCACTGTTTCAAGCACACCAAGAAACTGAACCAGGCAAAAATCCAGTGGCACTTTCAGAACTCACTTCATCAGATACATGAAGCACACATTCATAGATATATTTATATTCAAGGTTGCGAGCAACAGAAAGTCAGGAGCGAGTAGAAGATTGTATAGAGAGGCCAGTTTGAAACAATAACCAAAGAGAGTCCATTCAGAGTGGGTGAGGATGGGCAAAGTTGGATAAACATAGAATCAGACGTAATTGAGGAAGGTGCTGTGGAAGACAATGAGCAGAATTAATTAACATCCGTATAGGATGGGTCCTGCTTAATGATAGGGGTTCAGGCTATGCTTGGGTTGCCAGCCCAAGTCTAACAGCCCTGGGGAGATGGGTGGTGGTGGAGTCTTTACAACTGGCATCATCCAGCCATCTCAGCATCACTTCTGGCATGAATCTGGAAGTGATGCCATCTGGGCTATTTTGGGGCAGGAACGCACAGGAACGGAGTTCCGGCTGGCTTCAGAGTTGGCCACGCCCACTACAGCCAAAATGTGCGCGGCTACAGAGGGAAGGCCTGGAGAGCAACACACACCCCCAGTGACTCCGAGGCAGGCGGGCCAGGGGGCCCTGGAAGGATTGCCTTCCCCGGCCTGTCCAAGGGCTGGCCTGTCCAAGAGCCAGCTTGCCCGGGCGCCCTGCAGCCATGGGGCGCCCAGGGAAGCCAAAGGAAGGCAGTTTAAACGGCCTTCCCTTCCCTTCAAGGGGGGGCCTGCCTGGGCTCCCTGCAACTGCGGGGCACCTGGGCAAGCCAAGGGAAGGCATGGGGGTGTGACCTAATAGGCTAATGATCTGCACGGTCAGGGGTGTGGTCTAATATGCTGTTGGGTGTGGCCTATTATGCTAATGAGTTCCTGCTGGGCTTTTTCTACAAAAAAAGCCCTGGATGCCATCATGTCAAGACAATGCTCTAGGCTTTACCATAGAGTTTCAAGTGAACCCCAAAGTGTCGCCTCAATGTGGTGACATCACTTCCAGGTTCTTACCAGAAGTGACATCGGCCCAGTAGTGCAATGCTGATTCAATTTTCCTCCCCCCATTTTTCTCCTGTTACTTCCACCGAGCAGCAGTAGGAATGGCAGGACTCAACGCAGGAGGTCTGGCCACCTAAATCTAAGCAGACAAGACGCTGGGTGCTTCCACACATGCGAATTAATGCCACTTAAATCCACTTCAGCTGCAAAGTGCATTGAAAGTGCAACCAAAGGTCATAGGTTTAGCTCCACTCCAACAATGACTCCATCCACCTCCACTGTCTCCCATTGTAAATGGATGGCTGCCATTCATTCTGGTGAGGAAAAATAAGACATGACCTGAACATGTAGAAGAAGGAGGTGGTAGAATGGACTCTTCCAGTTCAGCCTGGAAAATCATCCCCGCTCCCCACAAGAGAAACAGGAAACAACAGGGATTAGACTGAGCTAGAACCTCCCGTTACAATTCGTTATGGTTTGAATTTGTAGAGTTGTTTTTAAATTGGGCAGCATTCATATGTGGCATTCACTTCCTGCCACCTTTAGAGGTGCCTCGGAATTTCATCACTACGTTCTGCTGCAAGACCAGGCCAGACGCCAGAATCATCCTTGAGACAGGAAATCTAGGGACTTTGATGCTGCCCCCACACTCTTCCAAATCTGAAGTGCGAGGCTAGGTGAGAACATGGTACAGATATAGGAGAGAGCAAATGCAAATAGAAGAACTGAACAAGGCTGGTTTGGGGTGGGGTGGGGTGGGGTGGGGTGGGTAAAGACTATGTCTCAATTTCCTTTACTGTGGCTAATGGAGGGTGATGCTAGGGAAAGGGTTAAATCCCTTACCAGTTGGGGGGGACAGGACCAGCCTGACCATGATGGCAAAAGCAGGTTTCGGGGGGGGGGGGGGTCCTTTTCCTGACCCTCCCAAAGTCCATCTCAACATGCTGCCTTTGAATCATGCGCTGCATTTCAGAATGGGGTGTGTGTGTGTGTGTGTGTGTGTGTTGTTCCGACTTTTTTGTAGCTGTGCTGGCATTAAAGGGGGGGGGAGGTACATGCAGGGGGTCCTGGGAAAAAGGGCATATTAGCATTGTGGCAGCAATCTGAATGGCTCCGGTGATCACTAGAATGGTTAAGAGGCAGAAGAAACAAAGGGAAGGGACATAGTTGTGGGAAAGGGAGGGACAGAAGATCAGCTGGTGTCTGCAAAAATAGCCGTCTCCAAACATCACGAGAAGGAAAGCTGCTTTTGATCCCCTCGCTTACCATTCTCATTTTCTGCAAAGCAAACTATTCCACAAAGTGACAGGCAGCCTGCCCCTCCCAGATTTGATAGGGTTCTCACACCCTGTTTGCTTCCTTGCCTGGTAATTCACTCTGCATGCGGCACAGGTAAGATTTACTTATGGGGCTGAGGTTAGGGCATTTATGTAGTTCCCAACTCCCCAGCATCCAGGTGCATTTGGTCAAGTGCCAATTCACGCAATAAAGTTGTTGTTTCTTTTGTTAAGCATATAAGCGAAGCAGGTTCCAGTTCTGTTTGCAGAAGAGCCATCAGTTGTCTGGCAAAGTTGTCTGATCTGCCAAAGTTACCTGTCAAGCAGGTTCTTGCTCCTAATGATCAAATAAGAGTACCACTGTGGTCTAGCACAGCAGTCTTCAAGCTTTCTAGACCCGAGACACACCTTTAACACCCAAGCAGCAACATGAGACCCAGTGACCTTCCAAACAGCAATAATAAAAAAAGTTAACTCTATAGGAACCCATAATTCAGAAAGGAGTACTATCTAGCTCCTCCTCTTCCTGTCACAGGTCATGTGGTAGCCTCCTGCCATATGCTTGCATAGATCCTATGCTGCTGTCTGAAGTTACAGGTAGATCCAGGGTCGGGAAAGTTTGAAGACCACGGTGGTATAGCAGTCAGAGTATGTTCAAGAGACTGTCAGCAGGCAAGATGGGGCCTGTCAGTCAGAAGACCCACAGCCTCATTTCTGCCTGTTGCTGGAGCAGCTGGGGTGTGGGATGCATCAGGAAAGCGGAGAGGCTCTCCCCCTTGGGATATTGCATAAATCAATGGAGAGCTTTATACATAAAGCCGTGTGGTATAGCAGCTGTGGAACACATGAAGCTGCCTTATATGGAGCCAGACACTTCCAGGGCTCACGAAGGCTGGGAAACCAATACCCACTGCTCTGAAAATCCTTTCTTTACTCCTTGAAATACGAAAGACTCTCTGTGGTTAACTGAGCAGTGAAGGAAGTGTACCCTGCACCTATTTCAGGGGCACTTTTTGTCTGTTCTTTCTTGAAAGATGTTATTTCTTTTCTTTTTATACTTAAGAAGAAGAAGAAGAAGAGGAGGAGGAGCTTGGATTTATACCCCGCCCTTCACTACCCAAGGGTGTCTCAGAGTGGCTTACAAACTCCTTTCCCTTCCCCTCCCCACAACAGACACCCTGTGAGGCTTCTTGACAGAAACTGCTCTTTTTCAAGGACAGCTGTGCCAGAGCTTGTGACTGACCCAAGGTCACATCAGCAGGTGCAAGTGGAGGAGTGGGGAATCAAACCCGGTTCTCCCAGATTAGAGTCCGCACACTTAACCACTACACCAAACTGGCTTTTTTTGAGTATATCTTGAGTTTTATTGAGTATATCTATCAGTCCACGAACACACATTCATTATCTATCTTATTGATATACTCATTTTCCATTTTTAACAATCATAATAACCAAACAAAATAAAGAGAAATTCACCTGAGGTTACTATTCCAACAGCCTAAAATTTTTACTCTCATTTAATCCCTCTTCTTTTCATATGCCCCTATTTTACCAGTTTATAATTCCCCTCCAACTTCCCCATAGCTTATAGTTAATCATAATACAACTCATAATCTACAGTTCATTTCTACCTCAATTACTACTATTTTTCTCCATCTTCTTCTGTACCTGAAAAGAA